CAACAATTGATTAGGAAGTTTTCATTCTTGTAAACTGTTTAATAAATGTAATCAAACTCATCAAAGATTGAGGAAAGATGTACACGTTCGTTCATAAGTACTTGCGTAATTGCTTCGTGAATCTGGCCCCCTTGCACCGCCGTCCATTGCAAGTGAGTTGGGTGCACAATAGCCACACATATATAAAATAACAACTACTTTAATACAGATGATTGTTATAATATAGACTAAACTCTCCCTGGCAATTCGATAAAGATTTTATACTGCTTCCAGCTTCCAGGGCAAACTAAGCTAAGCGAGGTAAAGTTATCTATAATGTCTATACGATTCTAGTTAAGAATACATGCTGTTGGGGGGTAGCCTAAGCATACGCTTTAAGATTCGAGCTGGTTAAATTACGGCTCATTACGAGAGGCAATATCAGAATTCTGGCTGGATGGATCGCATCACCTCCATCAGTACAGGAGGTGAGTGGAAGCAGCTAGCTGTCTAGGCAAGCTATCGATCCTTGTGCCTGGTAGCTCAGGGGCGCCGGCCTGGGTGGCTGGACCCTCCCCTGTAGGGGGCCATGGAGGTCTGGCCAACCTCATCTACCCGGCCTTATCCGGTGCCTTCCAGTTTACGGTACCTGCGCGCGCGCAAAGATGCGATGAACCTTAATATGGCCGAGATCGTGTTGCATATCAAATCCTTATCCCTGATTGGCTTGTCGCATAGCAATGCTGCTTATATCCTGTCTCTATGCAGCGGTGTACGTATGTCCTGGTTAAATTGGTTCTCTTGAGCTGTAACTGTTAACATTGTTGTTACATTAATAGGAATTGTATACGATTATTCAGGCAGTTATTATTAATAATACTAATAATAAAATTAATTTTATTATTTATGCTATCTATAAATAAATGTTTATATTTTTTAATTGAGGGTTTTATTTATACTATTTCATAAATTAGTATATTAATTTTAATCAAGTTTACTTATTTAATAATTAAAGATGCTACTTGAGTTCTATCTGATTTTACTTTGTGTCATACTTCAGCTACGTTACTGTGACTCATCGTCTGCTTACTTTATAATGACAATAATTCGTTTTGTCGCAAGGCAGCAGGCGTTCCTTGAAGCACACAGTAATTGATTAAATATGACCGCATTGCTGGCATTGTTGATCTTATGGTGTAAACTTTCTATGTTTCTAAGTATTTACTTAGTGTCAGCATTATGAAAAGCAATCAAGTTACCAAAAGTCGTGGTAAAGTAAGTAATTATCAAAGAAGGCACCGAGCTGGGAAGGCTATGTAGCAAAATTCGTGGTAAAGAAACTTGTAATTATTGAAGGGTTTTATTTTCGACAACGTTTTGTTAAATTCTGGAACATCTTAAGGTAAAGAATGAATACATAAGGTGTTGTTGTTGTTATAGATTCAGCTACTCGGAACAAGTTCCAAGTAGCACGGGCTATGGTGAGCCCGTAACTTACCTGGCTGAGGAGCGGGGCAAGTAGCACGGACTATGTACATAAGGTGCAATTTTGGGTTAAATATACATGTGAAAGGGGTTGTATGGTGTGAGGTGAAGGGTCGAAGGAGTCAAATATAGGATAAGTAGGGGAATAAGGTAAGAATTAGGGGAAAGGTACAATAAAAAAATCGTGAAATATATATCAAGCTTGGTATTTTACTTTAATTTTCGACTTAATTTTGTGTTGTATCATCATCATTGACCCGTTTGTACTGTCGTCATATACACATGGAAGCATTTGCCGGGAGAAGACCGGAAAGCATTTTAGGAAAAAATGTTAGTGATATGATAATATCAGACATGCCTCTTGTCGACCCTTTGAACTTAAAAACCCTGTGATGATACAATGAAGCTCACTTTTAAATTATTTATACTAGATAGCTTGTTACATGGCAATACGTATGCTTTACGTTCATTGCAATATTGCATATTCTTATTAATTCACTTATATTTAATGTTTGAATATTTTTTTTTGTTCGAGGGTAAGACAACACTTCCAGTTGTTTTTGGCAGCATATACACACATGATCCAGCTGTACTGCCAGACATCCGACGGGTATAGCCAGGTCCATTTATGAAGTCACAAGTTTATAAAATGCATTATTAACTATCATTTTACTTGTGAACAGTGATTATATAGAATTATCCAAGTGATTATATAAGAGATTTGCAGCTAGGCTTAATGGCCATAATAAATGTTGGCGAAACAACACCTGCCAATAGTTTTCCTACCTCAGGCTAGGCTTGTTCAAGCGGCGGTCAACCCACAAAGACGCATTCATCAATTTGAACACACTGCATATTCAAAATATTTTTTTTCTGAGTTAAAGTTTATATTATTACATACTAGAATGTGGTGGTCTAAGAAAGTTAAGTCTAACTTTAAAATAACCACCTAAAAAGAACTTTAATATATATAATAATATTTATTTATAAATAAACAAACTTATTTTGAATGCACAAAACGTCAAAATTAATTAACACATTTTGTAAGACTGCCATACCAGAATTACATTTCACCATTATAAATTCACATTAATGCATTCATAAAACTGTGTATCTATGTATTTGCTGGATTTTGGCAGGTACGGCTTCAGCGGGTAGGCGGTTCCATGGGTTTTAACTATCTGGGTAAAAAAAAATCTGTTTTCAGTCCTACTTGAGAGGACATACTCTCCAACACTATAACTGTGATTGCCCTGTTATCAGTGACTTCATACCAAATGGTATGAGGCACTTTGAGCTCTGTAATTACTTCATACACTCAGGAATATTGGAAGATATTCTTGTGTTGCACCCAGATTTTGCCAGTGGAGGCCAATAGATCAGCCTTAAGTATTTTATCCTCTCCTGATTCCATGTATGACTGGCCATCCTGTGAGGTGAGGATGTTGGATGAGCTTGTATCTGGTTTTTTATCTACACTGCGTGATCCTTCATGCAGAATAGGGAAGCAGCACATTGCTGTGTATACCTAAACATGTTAAAAAAAATACATTGTTTGAGAGGAGTCTTGTGGAAACTAGTAAGAGTAGTTATAATATAATGTTTCCATGATTCAGTTCTTACCTCTTGTGAAAATCCTGAAGTTATTGTTTAGTCAGAGTTGATTTGTTTTTTTGTATTGAGGCAGGTATTTTCTCCCCTGATTCCATGTATGACTAACCATCCTGTGAGATGGGAGTATTAGATGAACTTATAGCTAGTTTTTTTTATCTACACTGTGTAATCTTCCATATAGAATAGGATAGCAGCACATTGCTATGTATACCTAAGCTTCTTAATACAAAAATATCAGTAATAATGATTTTAAATTATAGTTTGTGTTATTACCAATATTATCCTTATTAAATCATATTAACCATGGATCATTAAGATCTCATGTTGATATGTAATACAGTAGTTATATTTCTTTTGAATCATTAATTAAATTGTGCATTATGTCTCAATTTTTCACTTTTTTGGATATACTGTACTGTATAGTACAAAAAGATAGGACAAAAATAAGCCAGTAATATTTCTTTAATTATATTTTTTATTTAAATAACTGCATCAATATTTTTACAGCTGACAGGATTTGTTTCTCACAGGTGCATTATTTGTTAAAAAATTTGGTTTATTGCTACACACAATGGTGCTACATAGCCTCCCCAGCTTGGTGCCTTCTTTTGATAATTACTTACTGATTGTTACACAGCCAAATTGTGTAACAGAAAGAGGTCTTGGACACAAATTTGTTCCATGCTAAATGTAGAGGAATCAGCTGAGCATTCCTCAAATAAAATAGGCTGCCTCAGCTTATAAGGTAAATAAAATAAGCATTCCTCAAATAAGTAGCTGCCTCACCTCACTGCCTTACTGCTACATAGCCTTCCCGGCATGGTGCCTTCTTTTGATAATTACTGGTTCCACACACCCAAAATGTGTAACAGGAAGAGGTCTTGAACCCCTACTTCCCTCTCTCTTTAATTTCCATATAGTCATAATTATAGGTTTAAGTATTCAATGAGAAGTTTTTGAAGTTTTTCCCTAACATAACATCATTTGTGCAGGATATTTTTCTTTTATGTCTCACCCAGATTTAATTTCAAAATAAAACCCCAAAAAATAAATTAAAACTGTCTATGTATAGCTAAGGCACACCCTTACTGATTACTAGGTGAACAGAGGCATTTGGTGATAGTAAATGCTCCCATCAGGCAGGGCTCATAACCTTCTCTCATATTTCATGTTCACCAGTGTTTATTTACTTAATAACTACTGGTATAATATCTTGCTATTATAAAACTAATTCTACTATCATAAAATACATATTTACTTCACGTTTCAAGCAGAGAATGCATATATAACTAACACGAAGGACTCCTCTTCACGAGATTCGCCAACTAATAATCTTTTTTTGTTTATCCTGCCCGAAACGCTTTGCGTAATAGTGGCTTTAGGCATTGTATGTACTAGCTCTATTTATAAATCCATCAACTTTTGTATCTTACCTTGTATGTATGTACCTTGCCTGAATAAAAATTTATTTATTTATTATTTATTTATATTAAAATCGATCCCAGTGTTATGTAGTAGAGAAAAATTGAGTTATATCCAGTTTACGTAAAGCTACGAGTGGTCGACAGTACACTTAGATGCCGGACCAAATTTACGAAGGTTTTTCTTCTTAGTGTAGCTACCTGAATACCGACGTAGCCGCCACGAAGGCGCCAAGAAGAAAATCATTCGAAGCTAAGAAGAAAAACATTCGTGAGTACCTTCGTGAATCTGGCCCCAGGGGACGGGTTGAAATACTTCATTCACATGCTACAAATAATTGTAAACAGAACCTAAACACCTAATCAAACCTTAGCCTAAATATGTACAATATACTAATATTGTACATATTTAGTATGTACAATATTAGTATTTAGTTATGGTAATATTTTAGAAATTTCCAGTTTCAATGATGGACTGCCCATAGCGCAAGGTCGGGTTCACGTGAAGTTTTTTCATTCCTAAACAGTAGTGACGGCGGATGGATCAACGAGCATTTGATCAGTGTTAACGAGGCCGGGCCGCTGACAACTGCTGACCTGGCAACGACGTGACACAACCAGAAACCTTTAAGGTTATTGCAGTTATGTTATGAAGGTGAGCACTATCCTTGGTTTCTCAGAATCAGCATGTTTTTATCTTTTTAAGGATTTTAGTATTTCCGGGTTCCCTGGGTCTGCCTTGTCTCAAAGATCTGCTTTTATTCACAATTTCAGTCCTGTGAACACTAATATATTCCGGTATTCAAAGTGACTTTTAATCCTGAGTTTAGACCAAGTCGGGTAGCGTTGGTGTATGTTATCCTAGCTTAACTAAGATTCAATAGAACGCGAGGAAACGGTATAGTCAAATAATGCGACTGAACATTTAACACTTATTAAGCAAACAAACTGTATCCAGCTAACAGTTACAGGCTCAGAGCAAACAAAGTAGCTTCAAATGTATATGTATAAAATGTATATCTTGAGATGATTTATTGATTTCGGGGCTTTAGTGTCCCCGCGGCCCGGTCCTCGACCTGGCCTCCACCCCCAGGAAGCAGCCCGTGACAGCTGACTAACACCCAGGTACCTATCCTGAGCGCAGATAGTTTTTATCTGCGCGTTTTACAAGTGGTGATTATATCGAATAGCCTAATAGGCCTTCATTAAAACCGGTAATGTTTATTCTTAAAAATAAAGCTGGAAATTACATTCTCCCGAATTCAAGATAGCGTGGGAAGTTGAGGCTACTGGTGTCATGAATAATTTAGAGGAAATATGGGGTTAATCCGTGACGCTGCGTAGCTCTGTCACCTGTGGCAAGCTGATGGTGTAAGGCACCACAGAATAAAGAGTGGAGATTTTGCATAGCAGTTATTTAAATCATCATAGCAAAATATGTTTGTTATGGAAACAGGTAAAAATATAAGATATCTGCTTCCGCTTGAAGCATTTGTAAATTATTCACTTGACAACAGTTTTTTCCCCCTTTGTTATTAATGCGAGAAAAGCTACTTAAGCAAAACACACAATTAAACGACCATTCCTTGTTAATAATAATAATAATAATAATAATAATAATAATGTAATTTGTGTGACACTTAAGCAGCAACAAAACCGAACCTTTCAAAATTGCGCCAGTGAAAGTCTCTACCGTAAAAATTTGCTTGAAAACCAATTAAAAAAAAATTAGAAAGAAAAATCAAGCTCCCTTATCAAGCTCCCTTGCAGCAACTGCTGCAAGGTATTGTTGCAGGAATGCTGCAGATATCTTGCAGCATTCAGGAATATTCTGGGATTGTTGTTTGTGGCACTTGAGTGTCACTCACGTGTGTGTAGCGTATCCCCAGGCGAATTGATGAGGATGGGGGGCGGGGGGAGCTGGAGGAATGAGGGGGGGGGGGGAGCTGGAGGAATGAGGGGGGGGGGGAGCTGGAGGAATGAGGGGGGTGGCCCCGAGAGTGAAGAGAAGGGGGTTATGGAGGGAGGGGGTTACATGAGGGATGGAGTGGCTGTAAAGGGGGGGAAAGGGATGATTGTGGGGGTCAGTATTGGGAGGGGCGAGGGGGGGTCCTCCTGGAGAGGTGATAGTGGAGTGGGGGGGGGGAAGGGAGAGGAGGTTGGGGGGTGGAAAAGAAAATCAATATCTACCTCAATTTAGACTCGATGCCCTCTCCTACCTTCCTCAATCTTTCTCCTCTTCCTACTCTTGCGCGTCTTTTTCTTCTCCTTACCACTTGCATTCCCTCTTTACACAACCTTAACAGTCCCTAGATGGCGCTGAGCGAGGCTGGTAGGCATCAGAAACCTGTCACCTCAACTAACGCGTCTCATTTTGTACGTTGTGGAACTCAAGGTGCAAATTACAAAGTAGTTTGAAAAATAGCGGCTCACAGATATTCACATTTTTCTATGCTCTGTTAGGTAAGGTTAGGTGGGCGGCTTGGGTTGTTGTTTCTGGTTAGGTTAGCACATTGTATGTTTTACGGTGTTGGAAATCGAGAGAACGAACTGTTTCTCAGACTCGGGGCCAAATATTTAAACAAGGAGGGACAAACACACACACACACACACCTGCACACACACACACCTGCACATCAGTAGTACACACCTGCATGAAACATATCCACAGGTGAGTTGTAATGCGTCTCAGCTCTCAGAACTCTACCACATTGACTCTACCATGTCAACAGAACAACATAACCCTTGAGAAAATTATTACAATGCCGTATTGCTTGATCCAATTTATATTTTATTTTATAAAAAAAACGCCAACATCCTTTCTCAAGGTACTGTATACAATGTTTTGCCATATTGCACAACATTGTATATAATACAGTACCTTGAGAATGGATGTTGGTGACATCCGAAAATTTGTTTTTTAAAACATTAAAACATAATTTGGGTGTTTCGTTCACCTTCAACCAACGCACCTCCACAACCATAGAACCATTTTCAGACAAGCTACATCGCCATATATTCCACAGTAGAAACTACAACTCCTACACCGCGCCACATTATAGGCTCCGACACCTTCCACACGATATCAACCATGATATCAGCTCTCCAAACTGTTATGATATCATTGTTCCAGACAACCATGATATTAATTCAGTCATGATACAAACTCTCCAAACTATTATGATATCATTGTTTCAGACAACCATGATATTAATTTATTCAGTCATGATACCAACTCTACAAACTACGATATCAGCGCTCTCGACGGCAAAGCCATCGTTATCGCAAAATCTTGAGAACCAATCGCTTGTTGAGCATTTCTTAAGTTATCATCAACATCGAATGGCGGAATTCTAGGTGATTGTTGATGCGCAATAAAAGCTGCCTTGGCGTCTGTATATCGAGCCGTCTGCAGATAAGGTCTTCAAAGTTCTCCTTGAGCGGGTGAACTTCGTAGGATAAGGGGGTGAGTGTAAATCATATTGGACCAGGCGCTATTTTTTTGTTTTTGCCATGATAGGGCACTCCTGATAATTGTCTTGTTGGGAAATTTTTTGTGATAAGGTCGCGTTATAATCACATGATCGCTTCGTGGTCGTTGAAAATGAATTGCAGGTGGCGAGCGAGACCGCAGACATTGATTATAGTTAGGGGTAAGTAAGGGCTTACAGGCAATTAACCTTAGCAAGTTAGTTGTGTGAGGCGATTAGGGGAATGAGTGATGAGGCTTTGGGAAAGTCTGTGAGTGCACTAGGCTGTGTGATATCTTGCAAGACATGTCTCAACGTTGTACGAAGGTGTATATTGAATATATATGTATATGTGTGCATTTAATCATTAAATATCCCGCCAGAGCTGCACTAAATACTTAATCTGCGTTATATTTCAAATACTGTAGCCTAAAACCCTCCATTGTTTGCTCTGCTCTTCCACCTGGCCCAACCACTTGGGCTGGACGGTAGAGCGATGGTCTCGCTTCCTTGGAAGACGTTTCATAAGTAGAATATCTATTGGTTTGTATACAAATATGAAATGAGGCTAAGCTTTCTTTAGTTTGGATGGTTTTGGAAGATCCACACAGTCCTCAAACCAGCCATTCTCTCCCTTTATTTCTTTAGTTTGCGTTCAATTTAAGAGAGTTTACAGATAGTTTTCTTTTGCGTCTCCCGCAGAACAGAGAAAATGGAAACTCACTATTGCCAATTATTCGTGTCTCAGTGTATTTAATTACAGTATCTTATTCTCTAGCATATATATGAAATTTTAAGCACTGTGATTAGTCGCACCAATGTAATTTGTGTTTCGTATTTCGAGACTTCGTCATTTCCAAGACGTTATCAATGCTGGATTTATTTTACACTCTGATTTCTTGATGCGGCTTTAACTACTGATTGCCTTTGTATCGGAACTAAGTGAAAATTCTGATGCTGATTGTATGTGGAAATAAATCATAACGTAAATGTTTTATCACATCATTAACTAGTGAACATTGTGAAAATATTACGAGTTATTTGTCCACCAAGTTTGTTAGGTGTTAGTAATTGGCTGATGGTGACACTATATTAAAAGGTGCACTTGATTGGTCGGATATTTTTTACAGCTTGGTTTCTCGTCAGCCATTGGGTGGGTGGGATGTGTGTCTCTATGTGTGTGTGTACAGGCTTTAGTTCATAATTCTTGCCAGTCATGTCTCCAGTGAGAATTACATGGTTTAAATATTTATATCTTTGTTCGATTTATAATATATTCAGCAAATGCAAAGCTTCTTTACAACAATCTAACAAACAATAAACGATGAATACCAACAGCCAAATCCTCGCTCCTTCAAAGTATCTAATTGAGTTTTGTGTTTAAGTTTAATCTTGTCTTAGACTCGAGTGACTATTATAACTTTCCCAGTATCTGGGTCTCTCCCACAACTCACTACAGCATTCACATCTCGTTAACATGACTTGTTTTTAAATATAGTTAGTATGAAGCTGTTTTTGAAACTGGTTTCTTCCTCTGATGCTTTGACCAGTGTATATATATGCTGGTCAATGCTCTGTTGCCCTTGTGGTATTATTATTCACTGCTTGAGGACTTCTGGCTCACCAACTGGTCTCTTTCTATATTATTAAATTATTAAATTTATATTATTTAAATAATATTGTTTAATTTATGCTTTTAATAAGATTGTTTAATATATTTGTTTTGTTACATTTATACACTTACACATTTTTTTATACAAAAGCACACTCATTAACTTAATAAAAATTCTTGGAAATGACAGTGGGACTTACCACAAGCCACCAGCAGCTTCTAGGCCGCTAGAGAATGTGGCCCTCAGGTAAATTCAAGTAAATCTGTATATGTGTGTGAGCTTGAGCCAGTCATACAAATGACATGACAAGATACAAGCCATTAGAACCCTCCCTCTCACTACCCGTCCCTCCCCCCGCCCCTACTGTTGACAAAGGATCTCATCCCTGTGAGCCATTTCGTGTATTTCCCTTTGGTCGTCACCCTGTTGCTCTCTCGGGAGGAACATGGCGCCGCCTCTCCTCCTCCTTTCCCCCCAATCTCAATTGTTCTTTTATCTTCAGTATACTAAGGTTCCAAAGGGTTATAAAGCTACATAAAAAGGTGAGTTGGATTCTAATGTTGTTTGAGATAAGCACAGCGGTTTCAACTGGTTTCATTTTTAATGTATTTATGTATCATGCATCTCGCACACAACCCCATGCCGGCGGTGGATAGGCTATGTAGCCTCATAATGGAGTCAGAGACAATCCCAGTGTTCGTTTCGATAAGCATGTACGTGAGTGACTATTTATAATTTGTTAATGTATCTGAATTCAACTGTAGTTTTAGTCATTCATTTTGAGGAATGTTAATCTTCGATGGAAAAAGGTCTGGAGGGCTTTTGTGCAAGATGGGTGTGGGTTTGTCCAAGCTTTTTGATATCTGCGACATAATGTCTCTTTAACCTTGACTCAGTTTTCTGTCTCCATTTCTCTAATTCAGTCATGTTTATCTCGTATTCAGTCCTCTGTCTATCCCGTATTCAGTTCTCTGTCTGTCCCTTATTCAGTCCTGTCTCTCTATCCCATATTCAGTCCTGACTATCACTTATTCAAACCACTTTTTGTCCCCTGTTCAGTCCCTTTCTCTGTCTACTTCTACAAAAAACTTCTCGTTGTTTCAACCGGAGCCCAATATTATACGAAACAATCATTTAAATGTGTAATTTGAGAAAATCTTCACCATTATCGCCTTACACTTGCCGTCAGCAGTAAGACCATTGATACGAGGCTTCGACACGACGGCGCCTGTGGGTTTTTCTTCAAACATCACTTTGCTCATTAATATTAATGCATTGTTATTGAACTTCCTTAAGATGTTTCATATCCGAAAAGACCACTGACGATTTCCGTTCCTCATCTTCACTTAGGAATAGTGGAATACAACTTGCCTACTAATACTATTAAGTATCCTGTAATGGCTTCCATGACTGCTGTTTGTAATCAGAGTGAAAGGTGCTCCAGGATGGAGATACTTGAAGCATTAACCTGATTCTCTCTTACAAAGCAATTTGGCAAATTTGACAATGGGGTAGACAGGAGAACGATGCGTACTCGGGTGAAATTGTATTTTATATTAGATTTTGCAACAACTGTTTTTGAGAAAAGATTTGCATCTTATTGATATATGTTTCTTGGCTGCCCTGCTTCCTAGATTCAGTATATGGCTTTTCATGGGATAAGTAGGTTTTTGCCCTCTCTTTCGAGTGATTGTTCCAGTTAACATATCATGCTTCTAGTTGTCATTGCCTGTAATTTCTTAGTCGAAATTGTTATTAATAATGGCAGTTGGCATTTCTTTCGCTCACACACACACACACACATACACACACACACACACACACACACACACACACACACACACACACACACACACACACACACACACACACACACACACACACACACAGGCCATGCCAGCCAAAAATAAAGTGTTATTGCAAGAAATGTTTACATAGGATATAATCCCGGTGGTGTGAGCAACGTCCAGTGAGGATCTAGACACTTATAGCCTACCTCAAAACTGCCCAAGTAACTAAGCCTTAAAATAACATAAATTTAAAGATAAACCTTTATATATATATATATATATATATATATATATATATATATATATATATATATATATATATATATATATATATATATATATATATATATATATATTATATCGTCATGATCAGCTTATCATAGTGACAGCTAGAGATCTCCACGACACAATACTATCTGCCTCTCACGTCATCCAGCAGTGAGGGGTCACGTGGCTCCAGCTTGTTTGAATATCGAGTTTAGAAACAACGATTCCAGCCTTCTCTAACACGTCCTCCTCATCAGCTGCTTGGTACAGAGATATTACCTGCTACAGCGCTCTCAACACACGAATCAGCTGGCCATTACAGCAACCCGTTCTCGCAAATTTAATAAGTCAATATTGACTTATTAAATATGTGCATAGGTGACATACTTAACATAATAGTTTCCCTTGAAAAGCTTCATAGAAAACACCGACCTTACCTAACCTACTTAGTATGTTAAGATAAGCATCTTATTGCTTCGTAATTACAATTATTACCTAACCTATACCTATAATAGGTTAAGTAACAATTGTTATTACGAAGCTATAAGATGCCTATTTTAACATACTAAGTAGGTTAGGTAAGGTCGATGTTTTCTATGAAGCTTTTCAAGGGAAACTATTATGTTTAGTATGTCACCTATGCACGCAACTAATAAGTCAATATTGACTTATTAAATTTGCGAGAACGGGTTGATTACAGAGATGTTACCGGGTACAGCCAGTTCAAAAGCCACGCAGAGTGAAGAGATGACGCGGGTTGCGACTAGGCTACCTATATGCTTCGACAATTGGAATCGACATGATAGACGATGAGCCAAGGTGGCTCTTGGAGACCTGGTCGAAGACCGGGCCACGGGGACATTGAGCCCAGAAATCATCGCAAGGTAAGGGGCAAGTGTTGCGAACGACCAAATGGACTTTCCCTTAAATGATGTAGCTGAAGATTTCTTCCATGTCTTCTGACAGAAAATAATTGTCATGATAGGGAGAGTGAAGGTGAGCCCCCTCACCCACACCTGTGGGAGATCTCAGCGTAGTAACGGTTAGGTAGGTCCACGCCCACACCTGCGGGAGGGGGCTGCGTAGTAACTAACGGGTCCACGCCCACACCTGCGAGAGGGGGGCTGCGTAGTAACGGTTGGGCAGGTCCACGCCCCCACCACGTGGCATGATTGGCGTCAGAACGTTTCCTTATCAGCCCGATGGGATAAGAGCCGGCACCAGGACGCTCCCACCGCTTGTTGAGTGCGTTAACTGTCAGTCATGGGACAAATCAGTCGGCAGTCACTGCCATTCGCGGTTGCCATTTTAATTGTATATTTCGTCCATTTTCTAACACTATTTTGACTGGTTCATTGTTGTTCTTTCAGTTAAATCGGCTCTTAATCTGTCCTTGAACTTTCTTTGGCATGAACTTATTTGCAGTTGTATCTGTGGTAAATTAGAGCAATTTAACATGTACGGTAATTCATTCCTATAACTGTGGTTGTATGTGTATGTATTTATGTATTTAAGTAAATACATACAATGTATATATGTATTTACTGTTTGTACCTGCAGGATCTTGCTGATAGCTCTTGAATTTCTCCTTTCTAACCTACGGTTGTCTAATGTACTGACTCCCGACCTATTTTTCTTCTATAATATGTACTACATATTTCTCTTATACACACCTATTCACCAGGATACAGCCCGTAGCATGTACTACACTTCCACATAAAAAGAACACCCGCTTTGGTTGTTCAATTGCTCTGAGTATTTTGTATGTGGTAATCATGTATTGCACCGCTTTTTTTTCTGTTAACAAGCGACTCGAGAATTAACTCTTTAATTATTTCCCTCTAAATTCATACTTCTCAGCTCTGATACTGTTCAAGTGGCATACCTCTGAACTTTCTCTAGTTTCGTATTGTTTAAATAGATAAGGAGTACACGCTGGTGCTGTATATTCCAAAATTGGTCTGACATAGGTGGTATCAATGGTCGTGATGAATTCCCTATATTTCAGAAATCTCTCCTAATCAGAACGGAGAAGTGAGTGCCGAGCAGTACTCTGGGGGAAAACACAAGTGATGCTAAGCATAGGTCTTCATCATCTATTCTATGCTTATACTGACTGATGGTATGTAGCCTTTATTATGCTTACTAAACATTAAGTCTTCCAGACATCATTATCCCCAGACTATGAATAATGCTATTGCATTATTCTTCCATGTACATGTCATTTTCCTTCTAATTCTAATTTTCCTTCCTTGCATCTTGTATCCTGTATTCCATTTAAGTTGTTAATTTTTACTACATCTAAGTATCAGTAATTTATCAGTGTTAAAAACATGCTATTGCAGTATTTAATTGTTTTTTTAATAATTTTCTTACTGATATCGTCTACAAAGGATAACACGGAGCTGTGACTTGTATCTTTGTTTGTATCTGATATGAGGACGAGAAAAAGTAGTGGTGCATGGACAGTGCCCTGGTGTATGGAGTTTTTCAATGTGTTTGGAGTTGATATTGCTTGGTCGACTGTTACTCTTTGTATTCTGCTTGACAGGAAAGTGTTTATCCGCCCACTTATTGTATGTTGGACCTCAGTTCATGGGCCATCACTCCATGGTCACATTGATGCCTTTGCAAAGTTCGTGCATACGAATCTACATTATGTTTTTCTTGTAATACTTCCGTGATTTTGTCCTGTTGGTTTAGCAATAATAAAAGACAGGATCTTAACACGAAATCCATGTTGGCCTGGATTGTGAAGTTCATTGTTCCCCGTAAAACTGGAGATTTGACTCCAAATCACTCTTTCAAAGATTTTAATTGTGATGCTAGTGCGACTTCTCTATTGTTTTTGCCAATGCTTTGCTACCTCGCTTGTATAGTGAAGCTATATCTGGTGACTTCTGACCATCCAGCGGCGTACACCTCTCGGTGTTTCCCAGGTGTACTACTCGGTAGGCATAAAGGCCTACTCCTTTGTGAATGTGGAAGGTTGCGTATGTGTTGAATGTTTGTTTGTGGGAATATGTGTGGTGATAGTATGGATGGATGTGAGTATGGTGGCTATTTTAGATCTTTTGCATTTTTGTTCCAGGGTAACAACTTTAGAATTTATTTTGTCACTGAACTGAAACTTAAGATGCTTATAAACGCTCATAAAAAACAATATTAGGGTCAATAACTTAAAGAACTCTACCTTTTGAAATTTGGAAACGTCTCCCCTCATGTGGCCAGCGCCTGGTTTAATGTTAGGTTTTCTGTGTTGGTTTCATAGCGATGACTAAAGTAATCCAATTTACATTACCGTGACCCCTAATCTTGTAAATATACGCTTAAAACGAACCTTAATTTTGAATTTAACCAATGTAGCATACCACCGGTATTAATTTTAATAATTTGAATTAGACTTATTTTGTTCCTTGGATTTTAAACTGCTTAAGATATTTCAGAATACACTCAGTTTTACTGTAGTTTATTTCACATATTATGGATCCTGTACTGCTCAGCTTCCCAAGGCATAACTGTGATGAGCTTGTCTCTGAAGCTAGACACAGATATGGTGAAATAATCAATGATGGCGTCAGAGTTTGTCTCCTGTGGATGCCTTCCCATATTGGTCTCCGAATGCGTGATGAAACCGATGAGTTGGCCAAGACTTTTGCTCGTAAAGAGGGAATTGATTACCACCTTGGACTGCTTTTGAGCAGCCTGAGGGCAGTAATATTCCGGGAACATCAAGAAAATCTTGTAGACTTGAGGCAGAATGAAATTCACACCAGTTGCTCCATCTATCGTCATTCTATTATGCAGCAAGAACCGCACGTCTATGGGTCATCCAATAATGTTAGCAGACTTCTAGATGTTACCACTGCTAGGCTTAGGCTCGGCTACAAGTACCTTTGGGAGTTTGTAACATCTGCTGATGTAGACGTGACTAAATGTAAACTCTGTCAGCAGAACTACTTGTATACCTTGCGTCATTATATAATGGAATGTGGAATTCAGAGATTAACACCATCAATGGAGTCCAAGAAATGTGTAAATACTTCATTCATAATGATGTATTGCCGGGAATCTTAGCGAAGTATTCCAAATTTGCTTACTGTGGGTAATGCCTGCACCTGAGTGTAGGCTCAGTAGGTAGACCAGCAGGCTGCTGCTTGTGTGGTCTGCGGTTCAAGGCTCCGATGGTCCAAGTGAATGATATATATATATATATATATATATATATATATATATATATATATATATATATATATATATATATATATATATATATATATATATATATCATTCAGGGGACAGGTCTGGCATGATATCAACCCCCAGATCTTTTTCACTCTCTGATTCTTGAAGAATTTAATCTCCCAAACGGAATATTGTATAGGTGTTCTTCTCCCTACACATATCTTCATTACTTTACATTTGCTCGGGTTAAACTCTAACAGCCATTTGTTGGATCGTTCCTTCAGTTTGTCCAGGTCATCGTGAAGCCTTATGTCGTTCTCCATGAAAATGAAAGATGAAATGTCCCACTGTGTGTGTGTGTGTGTGTGTGTGTGTGTGTGTGTGTGTGTGTGTGTGTGTGTGTGTGTGTGTGTGTGTGTGTGTGTGTGTGTGCGCGCGCGCGCGCGCCTATCCATTGACCGCTATACTCAATGGCCGATCGCTAAAAAATAACAATCCATTAAAAAACTTTCCAGTCTAAGTTTTAACACGATATTTGTTTGTTTATTTCCATTTTTACCAGACTTTTTACTGATAAAAAATGTAGTATTAACTAATAATTAGTCCAAAAAATGTCTCTCTCACGAACCTAGTAAGGAGTGAATTGGGTGGTTGATAGACCTACAGTGTCACGCCAGATGACAACTACCGCGATAGGTACCATGATAGAGCCAGGGTAGCGATAGCCAGACCTCATGTGAACTTGACCACTCTCCCCCAACTCCGATAAGATAAGACTTCCTGCTATCTCTAAGGCTATTCAGCAGTGCTTAGTATCAGCCGAGCCTTGGTGAGCTGACACCAGGGATCAGTCCAAGGACGGAACTATCATCCTCTAGGTAGTAATTTATGCATTGATCTCAGGAAAATTAAAGGAAACTTTCTACTCATCATTGGCCTTAGCAGCAAAAACCCGTAACTTATAAATTAAGCTAGTATCATTCTCAAGCCCTCTTTACCTGCAGGACTATCACAGGAATTGCTTGGTATCCCTTCTAGTATATATATATATATACTAAATATATATATAGTATATATATATATACTATATATATATATATATATATATATATATATATATATATATATATATATATATATATATATATATATATATATATATATATATATATATATATATATATATATATATATATATTTATATATATATATATATATATATATATATATATATATATATATATATATATATATATATATATATATATATGTCGTACCTAGTAGCCAGAACGCACTTCTCAGCCTACTATGCAAGGCCCAATTTGCCTAATAAGCCAAGTTTTCATGAATTAATTGTTTTTCGACTACCTAACCTACCTAACCTAACCTAACTTTTTCGGCTACCTAACCTAACCTAACCTATGAAGATAGGTTAGGTTAGGTTAGGTAGGGTTGGTTAGGTTCGGTCATATATCTACGTCAATTTTAACTCCAATAAAAAAAAATTGACCTCATACATAATGAAATGGGTAGCTTTATCATTTCATAAGCAAAAAATTCGAGAAAATATATTAATTCATGAAAACTGGGCTTATTAATCAAATCGGGCCTTGCATAGTAGGCTGAGAAGTGCGTTCTGGCTATTAGGTACGACATATATATATATATATATATATGTCGTACCTAGTAGCCAGAACTCACTTTTCAGCCTACAATGCAAGGCCCGATTTGCCTAATAAGCCAAGTTTTCATGAATTAATATATTTTCTCTAATTTTTTTCTTATGAAATGATAAAGCAACCCATATCATTATGTAAGAGGTCAATTTTTTTTATTGCAGTTAAAATTAACGTAGATATATGACCGAACCTAACCAACCCTACCTAACCTAACCTAACCTATCTTTATAGGTTAGGTTTGGTTAGGTAGCCGAAAAAGTTAGGTTAGGTTAGGTTAGGTAGGTTAGGTAGTCGAAAAGCAATTAATTCATGAAAACTTGGCTTATTAGGCAAATCGGGCCTTGCATAGTAGGCTCAGAAGTGAGTTCTGGCTACTAGGTACGACATATATATATATATATATATATATATATAAAGAGCAGAGCTCAACCCCCGCAAGCACAACTAGGTGAATACATTATATATATATATATATATATATATATATATATATATATATATATATATATATATATATATATATTATTAAATATGACCGTCATATATATATTATTAAATATTATATATATATTATTATAATATATATTATTAAATATATATATTATTATATATATTATTAAATATGAATATATTAAATATATATTATTAATATATATATATATTATTAAATATATAAATATTAAATATGAATAATATACTAATATATATATATATATGTATATATGTGTATATATATATATATATATATATATATATATATATATATATATATATGTATATATGTGTATATATATATATATATATATATATATATATATATATAATTATATTCACCTAGTTGTGCTTGCGGGAGTTGAGCTCTGCTCTTTCGGCCCGCCTCTAAACTGTCAATGAATCAACTGTTACTAACTACTTTTTTCACACACACATCCCCAGGAAGCAGCCCGTAGGAGCTGTATAACTCCCAGGTACCTATTTACTTCTAGGTAACAGAGGTATCAGGGTGAAGGAAACTCTGCCCATTTGTTTTTCCGGAGGTACCGGGGGATCGAACCCCGGTCCCTAGTGTGTGCGTGCGTGTGAGTGTGAATAAAGGTGTTGATACTGATACTATTATAGGTTTAGAAAGTATATATTCACGAAGAAAACATGATGACAAAAAACAAATTGACAAAATAAATTTCACCTGTTCCTATGTTTGTGTTCGTAGGCAAGCACGAATGTCAATCAAAAACATATAACCTGATTCTCCGATATT